TGGGATTAGAAAATTGATAAATGATGGCTGTTATAATTGTTATCAGCCATAATGTAAGCTCCACAACAGCAGAATTTTTTCTGTATTATAATTGATGTGTTCTCAACACTGTGGCAGATAATGCCTGCCAAAGAAGAAGTGCTCAATAAATTTTTTTTTAAATTTTTTTCAAGTGAAGGGCATACTTTTTTTTTTTTTTTAAGATTTATTTATTTATTTATACAAGCACTGGGTACAGTCAGAAGCACGGGAGGGTGAGAGAATTCACCAGAGCCAGAGCGGGGAGCAGAGCAGGCAGAAGGACCGAAGGACACTGCTGAGGGGAGCAGCGGGCGGCAGGAGAGGTCTGCGCGCCATGTGGGACCCTCCTCCGGTGGCCGGGGAGCAGCCGGGGATCGAACCAGCACTGCAGAGGCCGCGGGCAGCCTCGCAACCTAGCGCTCAACCGCTGTGCCACTGGGGAGGCCCTCAATAAATATTTGTTAAATGTTAAATGAGTTACTGTTATTACTGCTGTTATTACTAACTCCTTTCAGCTTTCACTATTTTTTAAGATTTATTTTTACTGGACCTCCCTGTGGTGGTACAAGGGGTTAAGCACTGCACTATGAAGCAATCCATAGCCTCTGCAGCAACAAGTTCGATCCCCGGCTGGCCAGAGAAAAACCCACATGGCAAAGCAGACCTCTCTTGTCTTTCCCACTGCTCCCCTCAGCAGTGCATTTCAGTCCACCTGCCTGTCCTGCTCCCCACTTTGTCTCTGGTGAATCCTCTCACCCACCCCCCGTATCTCTGGCCTGTACCCCAGCTCTTATATGCATAAATAAATAAATCTTTTTAAAAAAAACACTACTTCCTAGACAGCTATGAGAATTTAAAAAAAAGATTTATTTTTACTTATTTTATGCATACAAGAACTGGGGTATAGGCCAGAGGTGTGGGGGGTAAGGAGATTCACCGGAGACAGAGTGGGGAGCAGAACAGGTGGATCTACTGAAATACACTGCTGAGAGGAGCAGCAGGCGAGACAGGTGAGGTCTGCTGTGCCATGTGGGTTAGCTCCCTGGCCAGGGATCCAATTGCAGGGGAAGGAGGGAAGTGGCTGGCTAGAGCTTGATAGTTCTGTGTTTTTAACCCCTGTGCCACGAGGGAGGCCCTAATATAAAGTATTTTTTTAAAAGAATTTTGAAAGGATGATTTTCTTTGTGCTGATACTAGACACCCTTGTTTTGTCTAAAGAGACCCCCTTTTACTTTTCCCTGTATATTCCTCCCAGAAACTGAGACAAAATCAGTTTCAAGAAACTTGCAGTAGGGCCTCCCTGGTGGCATAAGGGGTTAAGCATCAGCACTATGAAGCAATCCACAACCACTGCAGGACGAGTTTGATCCCTGGCCAGGGAGGAGACCCACATGGCGCAGCAGACTTCTCCTGCCTCACCCGCTGCTCCCCTCAGCAGTGTATTTCAGTAGATCTGCCTGTTCTGGTCCCCACTGTGTCTCTGGTGAATCCTCTCACCCCACCCTCACACCTCTGGCCTGCACCCCCGCTCTTATATGCATAAATGAGTGAATCTTAAAAAAAAAAAAAAGAAAAGAAACTTGCAGTAACTCTATCAGATTTTGTCTCCATAACCAGACTAACTTCTTGGAAGGCAGGGAATATTTCTTCACTTTTTGGTGGAATTTTTTTGGTTGTTATGCTACTTAGTACATATTATCTATCTGATCCTGCCACCAAATTTGCGAGCTAGAACAATGACTGAATCATGGTAGGTATCTAATAACTTTTCACTAAGTTGCGGAGCCAATAGTAAAAGAAAGTTTGTTCAGGAGTCTCCACCTCTCACATGGAAAAACTCAGTGAGGAACCAATTATGTTGAAAGCCATGTGTCCCTTTCCAAATCATCTTCTGCTTTGACATATGTGACTTCATGAAGTCCTGAAACTTTCCTGGGTTTGCATTGTTTAGACTTAAGAAAGACATTCTAGAAGAGTAAATATTATGGCTACTGTATTTAACATTCATTATTTCCATTAAAGTAAGGACACTCTTCTTGGGTGTCTTCTGTGGGTCAAGCACTGAGGAGAAGATGCTGAAAGAAACAACATATGTATGGCTCTAGTCCCCAGGAGCAAATAATACAGCAGGTTCTAGATCATAGAGACACACATGTGTATATTAGCTATAATAATAGTGAAAATTTATATTATTAAGAATTAACTATATGTCAGACACTATTTAAGACACTATTTAAAACGTTTTACCTGCCTGGGCCTGGTGTTCAGGAGTTAAAGACATTGCTAACAAGCTACCCCCAACCACTGCAGCACTAGTTCACCCACATGGCTCAACAGACTTCTCCTGTCTCACCTGCTGTTCCCCTCAGCAGTGCATTCCAGATCTGCCTGTTCTGCTCCCCACTCTCTTTGGTGACTCCTCTCACCCCCCCATAACTCTGGCTTGCATCCCAGTTCTTGTATGCATAAATAAATATATCTTTTTTTAAAAAAAGTTTTACCTGCATGATCTAACTTTAACATTATAAAACTTCTGATAGTTAAATATTCTATTATATCCATTGGGCAGAGGAGGAACCCAAGTCAGAGAGAGGTCAAAATTTTTATCCCAGTTGTAAATAGTAGAGCTGATATTCAAACATGGGTAAGTTGACTCCAAAGTGTGTGAGCCTATGAAAGTGCTAATTATTAAGAAAAATAATTTGAAAACATGTAATAATCTCCCTCATCCTCTGGTTCTTATTTAAATCAGAAAATATTATCTCTTATTTCCCACCCTGAGTAGCTACATGCATAATTATACCCGTCTTTTGAAAGGGAGTTTGAGATACAAGCACAGCTCTCACACAGAATCATGTGCAAATACTCTCTTTTTGGATTTCAAGAAAGTTCCTTCGTGTCAGGGGCACTGCGAGGTTGAGAAGAATCAGGTTTCCTGGGAACGATTTGCAAGTGGGTACTCAAGAAAGAATTCTCAAGCTGGGAACCAGGAGCCAGGTAAGCGCTGTTTTATTCAGCACCGTGGACAGAGCCCGGGGCTTCCTCAGGACCCTGGACAGAGACACCGGCAGCGCCAGCGGGGGAAGCAAACCTCTCTGGAGAGCAGACCCAGGCAAAGCCGGAGCGGGCAGCTCGCTCTTCCTTGTCTTTTCTTCAGCCAGACTTTAGTCACCTGCTCCTCAGTCTTGAGAACAGAGGTACGCCAAACGAATATACTTTAAGGGCTCTAGTAACGCGGGGGTGAAAAGACCCCAAGGTGAGGAGGATTATATAAACAAAAATGACTGGCTGATGTACTCGGAGAACTCTTGGAAGATCTAAATTCGGGTCCTCCGTTGGGAGTGGGCTATTGCTAGTGATTTGTACTAATGATGTGTTTTTTTAGGTTTAGTACCAAGGTCCCACAGTTGTCCTTTTTATCACCCCAAATCCTCTCCCTTACATTCCCTTACTTTCCGGTTGTGGTGTCTTGGAGAGCGCTTTCTGCAGGAAAGAGAAAAAGAATCTCCCCACAACCTCTTGCTCTTCCTCCCCATCTCCCCGTTCCTTGCCCCCCTCATTCGTGACCGTCCTCTTCTCAAATACACACGTGCACGCACACGCAGGGTGAGATGCGCAAGAGGTTCTGCACACTTGGTGGAGAAAATTAAATTCAGCGCAAGCGGATGCCCCCGAAAGAAGGCTCTGGCCCTTTAAATGGGTTGTAGCCGTGGGGGAGGGGAACTGGCCGGAGCTGGCATTGTCCAGTTTGAACTGAGCACCGGAAGTGAAGGGGCAGGGCCAGGGCTGTGCACTGAGCCCTGGGCCATTGTCCATCTCCGACCAGGGCACTAGCCATCTCCCCTGGCCAGCCCCCTTTATCTGCTAGAAGGGGAGGCTACCATCAAAATGAGGAGGACCCCCCCTTGTCCAGTTGCCCCACCAGCCCTGCTGTGGGGAGGGGAGTAAACTTCAGGATGGTGACTCTGAAACGAAGAGGGTCTGAAAAACTTCAGTGTCCCGAGCACTGGAGGAAATGCCTCCACCTACCCACCCACCTAGTCCCTCTCCCAGCCCAGGCCTGGGGCCGCCAGGGGAAGGCGCAGCCTGGGAGAGAGGAGCCCGCTTCAAGGCTCTTTGGGTTCCTCTCTAGGAAGCTCCACGTGGGGCCAATTTGAAATAAAGCTTTGGGGAAAAAAAGAATTCTTCACACAAACTCAGAAGCTCTTTGATAGATCCAGAAAACTCAGAAACTCAGGGAGGGAGAGACCTTCACAGGACAGAGACCGGCTACCCCTGGTCAGGATTGGGGATCCGCCCTGCTGGAGCCCCAGTCTCCCCCCACAGCTTCCCCACCCCAGGCTTCCTGGACTCCAGAACTCCAGGTCTATCTAAGCACAGGGGGGTGGAGGGAGTGGTTGTGAGAGCGGGTCAGCGCCTAGCAGCCGGGTCAGCTCAGAGGCCTGAAGGGGAAGAGGGGGGGAGGGGCGCTCGGGGATGGGGGAGGGGGAGGGCTCATCCATTTCTCCCTTGACAGGTGGTTTGTGACTCTGATTGGCCGGCGCTGCCAGGCTCACACCTCCCTCCCCCAACTCTCTGGAATGTATAATTATCTGCGCGGGGGGTGGGGGTGGTGTGTGAGTGTGTGTGTGGGAGCAGTCACGTGGTTTAAAAACTACCCCCCCACACGGGTCCCCCACCTGTACGCTGCTTTGGGGACCCCCAGTGAGTCCTTAAAGTGCGTTATCCCAAATTCTGGGGTACTCAAGATTCTAGGGTGGGAGACCCCCAGCTCCAGATGTGTGTAGGGGGTGGGGGTGTCAAACCTCAAGGTTCTGAGAAGGGACACCCCAGAGGTGTCAGAGACGGCAGCGTGGGGGGAGGGCGGGAGCTGGAACTGGAGGGAAAGGGAGGGGAGAGGCGGGAGGGAGGGGAGGGGGCTGCCCGCGGGGGTTGGGTCATTGTCTTTTAGAATTTGGGAGCCTTTGAAAAGCCGTGGGCCCTCCCACCGCTATTGTGCTGGGGAAGATGTAGCAGCCTCTTCTCCGAGCCACCCCTTTGCCTCCGGACTTCTCTGGGGCCAGCAGCCGCCCGACCAGGGGCCCGGGCCGCGGGCTCAGCCGACTACCATGGGCTCGGTGTCAAACCAGCAGTTTGCAGGTTTGAGCTCGGGACTTATCGGGACACCTCAGGCTGCAGGGGCGCCCAGGAGCCACATAAAAGGGAGGTGGGGGAGTGTCCCCCAGGTTGGCCGAAGGACCCCAAATCTGTGCGGCCTTCTGTTTCCGGGGGCCAGCTCTGGAGCAAAGAACACTGGTGTCCCAGCGGTGTGCTCGCCCAGGCTACGGGGGCGGGGGGTGGGGGGAGAGAAGAGGAGGGGCCTGCCCGGTCATCTGTCCCCGGGCAACGTGTTGTGGGAAGAGGAGCAAAACTTTCGGGGCACAACTGGCCTCAGTGTAAGCTTGGGGAGCGCGGGAGGCGGCCTGGACAGGTCATTCCTCGCCCGCTGTTCAGTAGTTGCAGGCTCCTGGGTGTGCACCCGCGGGCTGGACGCTCGGGTGTCCCTGCCGGGTGTCTGAGAGGGCCCTCCAGTTCCGTGGCCCCCCCAGCTGAGCGCCCTCCCAATCTCCAGGTGGCTGCGCGAAGGCGCCGGAGGAGGCGCCGGAGGACGCGGCCCGAGCGGCAGAGGAGCCGCAGCTGCTGCACGGAGCCGGCATCTGTAAGTGGTTCAACGTGCGCATGGGGTTCGGCTTCCTGTCCATGACCGCCCGCGCCGGGGTCGCGCTGGACCCCCCGGTGGATGTCTTTGTGCACCAGGTGAGACCGATTCTGGTAACTTTGCCGGGGGCAGGGGACCTTGGCGCGCTTATCCAAAGATGGGAGGACGGACTTGGATATTCGACTGAAGGACTTCATTGTGCGTTCCCATCTTTGTGTGGCACCCCAGTTCCGAGTCCTTGTTAACTCCCACAGGAGGGAGTCGGGGGCAGTGTCTCTTATCAGCACCCCCACCCCCTTCCAGGAATCCCTCTGACTTACCACGTGTCTGTTACCTCCTTCCCCTGGGAAGGGGGCAGGGGCCAGGGAGGTGACCCCATGTGGCAGAAACTAAGGTTGTATTGTGCTTGCCTGTGGGGGGAGGGTGAGCAGGCCGGCCAGGCAAGCACATGCCCGGCCAGAGCAGGGCCCTGAGCCTCCTGCTCCTTTCACCAAATGACTGGAGCTGCCGATGAGGAGAGGGCGGGATGGACTCTGGGACACTGAGGGTAGAGCTGAGAAGCCAGCCAACTCTTCACCCAGGTGGTCATCCAAACTCTGGGTGAGTTTGGCAGATTTTACAATGATGGGGGTGGGGTGGGGGCAGAGGAGTGTGCAGGGAAAAGTCCAGAGGACCATCTCAAGTTCCACAACTCCCGGACCCGGCTTCTGCTATCCAGGTCCCAGCAGGAAAGAAAATCTAGAAGCCCAGGTCTAAGATGCCTGGGCCAGCTGGGAGGGAGCTAGGCCACAGTCCCAAGTTCTCAGTTAAAGCAGCACGCCGCTGGTGAAATTCAGTGTCTCGGGGCAGGGGGTGGAGGGAGACGGCCCTTGGACACAGTCTCCTCAGCTGGGCATTTATGGCCCCCCAGACAGCCATTGATTGCTGTCCTAACATTCCCGACCTTAAACAAGGAGCCAGAGCCTTGAGCTTTCTCTCCTCCCTGGCCTCCTTCCTCACTCCATCCTGATTGTCTTAGAAACATTCCAGTGGTCCTGGGACTGCGGCCACCCTAACTACCAAGGAAAGGAAGATGCTGCCCTTGTCCTCCCACCTCCGCCTACTTGAGCCTGGACCTAGGACGATAGAATTGCTAATCCCCGGCCCAGTCTGTTGACACCCAAGCCGGGCAGGGAGGGGTTACTTCGTGGAGGTTGGCTTTAGGAGCAGTGGGGGAGGGGAAGGGAGGATGTGGGGATTAAGGGTTGGAGCCTGAGGGATGGTATTCTGGAGGGGGAGGGGTGGAGAAGGGAGATGCTGGGTAGACTGGTTGGAGGCAGTGGGGAAGTCCCAGCACTACCCTCGGGAAGGAGGTTGAGTGAGGAGCCAGGGAGATAGAGGATGCAGGGAGATGGGCACTGGCCAATTAATTTGGGGATCACTGGGCCAGTAGAACCTCAGTCAGGAGGGTCTGCAGCAGAATGCTTAGCTACCCCCTTGCTGTGCTCTTTCCAACCCGTACCTCTTGTTTCCCCCACCAGACCTCTGGTTCCGACTGGTGGCTTTGCCCCCTCCCTGTCTCATTTGCATATGTGAATGATAACCCACAGGAAGTAATTGTGGGAGAAAGAAGGGAATTGGCCTCTTTAGATCTATTAAATCACTTTATTACAGGAACCAGCTTTGAATGGCCCTCCTCAGCGGGGTGGCCAGCTCCCCTACTCTCCCATTTATCTGATCACAAAGAGATTAAAATCTTTCTGGTCTGGAGACAGGCTGGACAGCTTCCCCAACTTTGGGCGGCTTAGAATAAGAGTCAGACCCAACATTTTCTTGTCTTCCTTCCTTGTCTAAATAAGGAGGGGTTTAAGAGAATGTGGCCCCTCATCTTCTGGGGTTCCTTGGTGATCTCCAAGTCTCAAAAGATTTTCTTGAGCAAACGCACCTGCGCTTCAGCCTACTTAACCACTGGATCCAAAGCAAACTATTGGGTGGCACAGAGGAAGCCAGGACCTTCAGGTTTGGGAAGTAGGGCGCAGATGGTGCTTTTGCAGATGGATTAGCTGGGAAGTAATCTTCAGTGTCCTGTGGAATGTCTAGGGACATTCCACAGTTGAGTAAGTTATCAGGAGGGAATTGAGCTGGGATAACGAATTAAGAATTTGTCTCCCTAACAGCCTCCACCGCCCACCCCCCAACAGTCACAGAGAACAATGTCTGGTGGAAATTTCCTGAGCCTTACCTGGTAGCTGTTGGGGCTGGGGTTGATCTCCAATCCTACCTTAGTAGTAACTTAACTGGTGGTTCCAGTTCCTGCACATGGAGAAATCTGAAATAACCCTGGGGAATTTAGTAGGTCAGAACGATCCCTAAAAATTGCCCAGGGGAAGGTCAGTGTTGCTCAAATGGAAAGAGTGAGATACTGTTTTTTCCCAAGAAACTTCCCCCTTTTGGTGGGCACCCTGGTGTGGGGGTGGTGAGAAGGATAAGTGTCCTAAGACATTTGCCTGGGGAGGGAAACGGAGCTTTTCTACAAGGAAAAAGGTTGGGGAGCAATTTACCATTTTCCTTACCCTCCTAAGTCTGAGCCCATTTGGTTCCCAAATATAATGCCCATCCTCCCTCAAACACTTTCTGTCCCCCCGCCCCAGGAGTGGGGGGGCATGTTTAACAATTAAAAAAAAAAAACCAGCCATAAATCAAAGAGATTTCAATAACTTAGTCGCAGGTCTTTGGTTCTAGAGCTCTATGTATTGCTGAGTGTGGGGGGAATTTAAGGATCACAGTGAATATGGAAGGTGGCCAACCCTTAAATCAGAGCTCTCAGTCTACTCACAACTTATATTTTGACCAGGTTTGTCACTCATTCTGGGCAATCTCAGTTGTGACAAGCAAAAATGTCTCAGCACCCCAGTATCACCCCTCTTTCAGAAAGAGTTCTGTGGGGAAAGCTGGAGCAAGAAATCTTTATCTTGTCTCCTGTTTTTCAGGGATTGACCATTTTCTTAACTTTTCATGGCCACTTGAAGAGTTTTTGTTAGGCAGAAAGGATGTTCTGAGCTAATCCCATTTTGGCTTAACTTAGATTTCCTGTGGTTCTGCTCCCAAGTAGCCCCATGATGGTAGCAACTTCAAAATGAGAAAAAGGTCCCCTGCTTTCCGCCTCTGCTCATAACTCAAATCTGTTTAAAATGACCTTTTTTGGCTAAATTCCTGTGTTAAGGGAATTTACGGCACAAGAAGAGAGTCCACATTTGACCACAGAACTGAGTTTTGGTTATGAGGGGAAAATGAATATTGAGGAAGTGTTGAAATTGCTGAACCTACTCACACGCAGCCTGTCTTTTTTTAAGATTTATTTTTTCTGGTGGTTGGGGGGGCTATGAGAGGATTCACCAGAGACAGTGGAGAGCAGAACAGAAGGATTGACTGAAATACACTGCTGAGGGGAGCAGCAGGGGGACAGGTCAGGACAGGACAGGTCCTGCTGTCCCTGGGCTCTAGCTCAGGTCTTAGCTGTGATAGAGCTGAGACTTAACCCTTAGGCCACCATGGAGGCCCCATTTTTGTTTTTTTAAAGATTGGGAGTGGTGGGAGCAACCAAGGCAGGGGGGTCTAGAATAGGACCCTTGGGTTTGGGAATGTAAAGGGATCTAGCCTTATCTGGGACCTCTCCTTTATCCTCCCATGTCTAGTTAGGAATGTGCTTGTCTTATCCCCTCCCCTAAACTTGGAAGAGTGGGACTAGCCTGGTTACTTTTTCTAGTTCATGTGAACTTGATAGATCGAAGGAATGACTGTGAAGCAACTCCTGAGGCATCGGGTACACTTTTGGGTTTTTTGTCAGATTTTACGTCAGAGAAAAAGACCCAAGATAGGGAGGGAATGTTGTTAACTGTTTCTGGACCTGGTACCTGGAATAGGACCTGGCACTTAGTAGACACCTCCTGAAAGTTTGGAGTGAGTGTCTGTGGGTCTGGATGTTAAGCCACAGATAGGATCCTCCTGTTCTTTTTCATGGACTGGAATCCATGACACTTAGGTCATTCATGAGTTATTTCATTCCATCTTAATAAGGAAAAGCAGATTGAAAAAAATAAGTGAACCACTTTTGATCTCCAGGGAGCTGGTAGAAACACACAGGAGTTCGTTTGAATATTGTGGGATCTTCTTAGAACCTTAGAACCTTCTCTTAATGAGAAGATGTGCTTTGAAGACTGTCGCAAAATAGTCTGTGGCACCCTCGCGAGTAACTGTTACCAGTTACCTTGCAGCTGGTAACACTATTGCTTGCCCCATAAGTGGTTTTCAGTGACTTTCCTGAGGGCAGGGTTGTTACTAGAACATTCCTAATCAAATTATCCCACTCTACTGGAATTCCAAATTTTTGGGAAAACTACCCTCGGCAAAACCACCCCTCCCTTCTTCCTGCAGGCATACCTACATTAAGTCTGTATGGGAGGTCAGGGGGTTGGAAATTATCTCAGCTTAGTGTTATTTAATTCAGACTGGACTCCAAAGCCCAAGGCAAGTAAGTAAATGGCTTTTGAAACTCCATTTTCCTGCAGCCTGGAATAAAGATGCCCACCCTTAATGAGCTGGAGACATAAATTTATGTCAATATTCGTGTTCACAGTTCAGGACCAGGCAGCAAACATCCTTCTGTTCCAGGCTCCCTCTGGCTGCCTTTGTCCACAGGCTGGTGAGCAGCGCCACCTGGCGGGCAACTTCAGGCAGGAGGTGATGGGCTCAGCAGAGGTGACAGAGCGGGCAGAAGGGGTGGTCTGACTGTAGTGTTTGGTTCTGGACATATTTCTCCACCCTCCCACATCATCAAATAATATGGTTCTGGGAAAACCAGTTAGTTCCCTAACCCCTACTAAACCTTACCTTCAGGAATGAAGTTCAGGTTGCCTTGGGACTGAGTCATTAAAATTTCATCTTTTTTAATGTAGCTACTAGAAAGTTTTTAAAAGTTTATGCAACACACATTATGTTGCACAGGGCTGGTTATGGACTCAGGATAGCGCAAAAAGTCAGATTAGTTGCAGTCAGCACAGCATTGCCCCACATGTGACTGGCAAAGCGCTTAACTCCTCAGTCTCCATGACCTCAGCTA